TTATTGTTTTCTCAACGTAAAAGTATTCTGCAATTTTGTAAATACCAAAATCCATATTGTTCCCCTTGTAAATAAATAACCCACATCATACTTTATATATTGTAAACATCATAACTTTTTTATGCAACCCTGTAGGGTCCCAACCGGGCAAGCTGTAGGTCTATTAAGCTTTTAATGACGAGCAACCCGGTACGAGCGGTAGCATACCGGGTCGTCATTGTATCAGAGGATACACTAATAGATATAAAAATTTATGCTACTTGTAAATATTGTAAATACATTATTATGCTATTCTTCTTATTTCACCATGTTAATACATATCTTGTACATATTTTTAATTCATTGTTCTTTAACATGCCATTGACTATAGGGATTTCCCTGAAATATAACCTCATAGACAACTAACCAAGGTTAGCAAACTCCATTTTCTTTTCTTTCCTGAGCTAAAGCCACTAGTCACAGTCGCCCTAGGGCCAATATATAGATGAAGAAGTGAGGTGCCCGCATTCGCGGGCAGGTACTTCGATAAAACACCTATCCAGTCCAGTCACTTTTTTGATCCCCCTGTAAATAAGTGACCCCATTCATTTGCATTGTACATACTCATGTTATCATCATCAATTGTTTCCCCCATGTAATATACTCCCTCTTTTGTTTCAATAAACGGGTGAGCCAAAAAAAAATAAATAAACCCTTTTCGGACGCATAGGAAAATTGACCTCCAAGGCCGTATGATTTCTTGAGATATTTCCATGACCTTCCACAGGGCGATAGGATCTCGGAACTAATCCCCCCCTCTTTTTTTTATCATCTTTTAGATCTTTCTTCAAGTTCTCCCCAAGTCTACCCAGAATTTTTATTCACTTCTTGTAAAATTTTTTCCACCTTAAGAAATCTTATCTTATCAGGTACAACAAGTTTTCTACTGGGGATAAACACAATTGTGTAGATCAGTGTTTCCCAACCTTTTTTGTGCCATGCCCCACCTAAGCCTTTCTAAAATTCTTATGCCCCCCTATGTAACATATACATAATTTTTAATATTAAAAAATTGAATTGTTCTCCTAAGAAACTTAAATGATAGGTTTTAGGAAAAAATCACCTGAAAATTTTTAACGATCACAGTAAGTAAATTTTCAAAACATATAATGAGAAACTAAAATTTAAATTCGAAATAATTTTAGTATAATTTTTAATATAATCAAATTCGAAATAATTTTAAGATGTTTCGATAATATTTTTTTAAAATTTATTGAGATCCTTGCCCTGGATGCTTGCGGCACAGAGGTTTTAAGCTTCAGTCTCAAGTCTCCCTGTTGTATTACATCCAGGCGATTTCTTTTTTTTACCAGTAAATCATTTACAAAACTAAATTCACATTCAGCTAAACATGAAGATGGAAACTGTAACAATAGTTTTCTTGCACATTTGGTTGAATTTGGGTATTTGATTTCTGTTTCCTCACAAAGCCATGCCACCACTCCTTTTATATTAAATAAAATTTTAAGAGACTCACCATTTTGCATTTCTGCGAGTTCATATCACCATTTTCACCACAATTCACCATTTCACAATTTTACCCGTGTCTTTCGAGTGAGTCGTACGTATTTCATTCTCTTGCAATTATGCCAGTATCTACTAAAGTTGATTTGTTATAAGAGTTTGTGTATGTTACAAGTTAAGTTTTAAAGTTTTTCTGCCGTTGTAGTCATCAATTTATGATTCATCACTATTGAGTTAATAAATCAAATCAAGCAATATGGCTACCTATCATCATCATGGCCGAGGCGGAAAACGACTAGTCGATAGGACACCACAAGTACCAATGGTTGACGTGGAAAGCATGAGTCCTAGTGAACGAAAGATATACGAACAAGTGATGGAAGGGTATGAGAAACATAGGAAAGAAATGGATGAATTGATGGCAAATGCGAATAAGCTCCTGTATAACTCATCTAGCCAAATCACTCCTGAAATGCAGATTAAAACAACTGAGGATACAGATATGGAAACTCATGATGACGGCCAAAACTTGGAACAGAAAAACGAAAGGACAACCACGGATACAGAAAGCACAGCAAAAACAAATACAGAACCCCCTCCAAAAAAGCGAAAAAAGAAGAAGAAAAAGCAAAACAAAGCCAAAAATACTGAGGATACGCAAATCACGAATGCAGAAAGCTCCACTTCTTCACCAATAGCTGCCGCCACCTCCTTGCCACAACCTGATGCAATAGTCAACTCCTACAAAGCTCCGCCCATAGAAGTTGCCACAGTTCCGCCCACAACTTCAGAAACTGTTCAACCAGTCAAGCACATAAAAGTTCTGGTACGTGGACTCCCAGAGGATTTCCCTACAGATCATATCTACCCTGAATTAGACAAGACAGGCATTAAATCACAGAAAGTAATTCAGTTCAAGAGAAAAGTGGGCGAGGCCTATCGGCTCCTCCCACTTTTTCTCATAATACTAATAGAATCTGAAAATAACCGACAAATCTACTCAATTAATAGCATATGCGATGTCCCGGTGAAAATAGAAAGGTTCCGTGGAGGAAACAGTCCAACCCAATGTTTCAATTGCCAAAATTTTGGTCACACTCAAAGAAATTGNTCAGTGTTTCCCAACCTTTTTTGTGCCATGCCCCACCTAATCCTTTCTAAAATTCTTATGCCCCCTATGTAACATATCCATAAATTTTAATATTAAAAAATTGAATTGTTCACTTAAGTAGCTTAAAATAGAGGTTTTAGGAAAAAATCACTAGGAAATTGTTAACGAAACACAGTAAGTAAATTTTCAAAACATATAATGAAGAAATAAATTGAAAATCGAAATAATTTTGATATAATCAAATTCGAAATAATTTTAAGATTTTTCTATAATAATTTAATATTTTAATTTATTGAGATTCTTGCGCTGAATGCTTGATGCACAGAGATTTTATGCTCCAATTTAGCTAGCTTCAGTCTCAAGTCTCCCCGTTGTATTACATCCAGGCGATTTCTTATTTTTACCAGTAAATCATTTACAAAACTAAATCCACATTCAGCTAAATATGTAAATGTAAACTGTAACAATAGTTTTCTTGCACATTTGGGTATTTGATTTCTGTTTCCTCACAAAGCCATGCCATCACTCCTTTTATATAAAATAAAATTTTAAGTGACTCATCATTTTGCATTTCTGCGAGTTCTTCTTGATACTGCATATTTGATATATCAGACAAATCCACTAACATTGACTGCATCATCCGTGTCGGAAAATCAATTTGTTTTAAATCAGAAAATGTTTCTTTTAAATCAGCCGAAAGAATTTTCAGATGATCGACAATAATAAGTAAAGCTGTATCATTTACTTCACATCTTTGGAGCCAATGAAACTGCTCAAAGTTTTTGTTGTTAATATATTTCTGACATAACTCAATAAGGGTAATGAAGCCAAATATCTTCGCTTTTGCATCAAACAGAGTTTCATTTGTTCCTTGAAGTTGCTTATTTAATATATTTAGTTTTCCGAAGATACCGACTAAATAACTCACCATCGACCGTTAACAGATACTTCATTTCAGGTTTGTTGCCTAAAAAATCGCTAAGTCGCGTAATATTTATTGGTCTCAATTATTTAAGAATTTGCTTTTTTCCTTCAATTTTGTCACCGAAACCTAGCATTGCATTGAAATGGCTCAGAGTAAAAGGGTTAAACTCGTGTAGAGTCAATTTTCGAATCGCCCCCCTTAACAATCAAATTGCCCCCTAGTGGGGCGTGGGCCCCACGTTGGGAAACACTGGTGTAGATGCCCCAAAAAATTAATGTAGTTCCAGTTTGGATTTCAATGGCGGCGATGATGCCGGTATTCATTTCAGGACGTTAGGCGAGTTTTCCTGCCGTGTATTTCTAATTGTTTTCAAATATCTATCAGGATTGATGCTACAATTAAGTGAGTAAAGTGTTTTTATTATTGATGTACTTATTTTTCGATTGAAATAGCAATGCTTCTCGTGTGTTAACTTCAAATCTACAAAAAGTGGGCGTTTCACGCCGTGTGTTTTACAGTGTATAAACAGTATTTCTTTCTTAATATTAAGCAGCGGTGATGCTTACCAACTCAGACAGCTGCCAAACTTAACAAATTACTTTTCACAAAGCGATAAATTCTCGCAGCATTCAAATTTATAGAAAAAAGGCCCTTTTTAAGGCCATTTAATATCTTGCTCAATCAAATCCCGAATTCGCCATGGAGGAAGGCAATATTCCTAAATGGGACTACGATGACCTACCACTCAACATCCGGCTTTTGTGCAACCCCATGGACGTCTGTGAGACGGCCAAGATGGATGTTCACGCCCTAAAAGATGAAAAATTCCATAACACGCACCAGTCGAAATGGATCAGGAACTGGGAACTCCAACATTTTGAGAAACTCATGAGATTCCAGAATGATAGAGAAAACTCAGGAATAGATGATATTGAAATGATGGAAATCAGTACCAGACTGGCCAGAGCTAATGCCAAGGTAATCTACCTAGACGGTAAGTCAAAATTCTATTATTGGTGCGTGAAAAATTTTGACTCAATTTACAATCGTAATCATCCCAATTATATCAAACCAAATAGCGACAATGATAAAAATACTAATATAACTAATGATTTTCCAATGTCCGACGACTCCGTCGATTATGAAACTTATGACTCATGCAACGACGAGGTTGCCCACAGTGGGGGCGAAATCAGCATGAGCATTGTAAAAAGCGTCATTGATAGCGCTCAATACAAAGATACAAATGACCTAGATTTTAATAATATTCTTGACATTCCAGCTTCTTCCAACTATCCCCGCGGTAGCCAGGAGAACACTAACGGAAACATTTCCTGTAGTCAAAATACCCAAATAGCAAAAAATCCTAAGAAAACTAAATCCAAAAAGTCTAAAAAACGGAAGTCAGGGTCAAAAGCCCCACCCTCAACAGTACAAGCCCTCTCAAGCTCCGACTCGGAAAATGAGATGGATTTCACTACAACCTCAAAAAATAAAAAGCGCGAACTGAGCAGCGAGCTTTCGGTCAATACTCATACCAAAAGCACAGCGACCCAGAATAAGTACCTAGAACACCGTGCAAAGGTACTAAGAGAAACTAAAAGGGCCAAAAGGGTAAGGGACTTAATCCCCCCCCAAACCCCCTTAAGTACCCCAAAAGATAAAATTGCCCCTATAATCATTAAAACAAACTCAAATATAAGAGCATTGTGTAACGCCATATATAAAATCATCAAAAAAGAAGATATACAATTTAAAGTGTCTGGGGAAGACATTAAGGCGTATGTAAACACAAGCGACCACCACCGGATACTGACCAAATTCTTAAATGATAATCAAATTGACTATGTAATTATCCCCCAATTTAACGAAAGGCCATTTAAAATAGTGGTAAAAGGCGTACCTATAAGTACNTGAGGAAGTGTACAATATCACAGAACTGTGCTGTGTGCAAGTGACTGTCGAGCCATTCAGAGCCAGAGACAAACCCCAGTAGTGTTACAACTGCCAGGGGTGGAACCATAGTTCCAGCAATTGTCACGTCAAGACAAAATGCGCAGGCTCACATGCAACAAAAGAATGCACTAAAAAATTTGAAGATCCGATAAAATGTGCAAACTGCCGTGGGCCACACACCGCAAACTACTCAAAATGCCCAAAAGCCCCCAAAAAATTAAATAAGAAGAGTACCAAAAATGTGGAAACTCGTAACACCCCAAAAACCTTTTCAGCAAAAAAGACAACTGCCGAACTTAGCTTTGCCAAAGCCGTTTCGAGCAATGGCAATAATAACAAAGAGACTAAATCCAGGACATATGAGAGTACAAATTTAAACTCAGAGCAAAGCTCACATGCCCTTGATCAAATTTCAGAGCTTGTAAGATTTGTTAAAAGCCTTGAAAAATTTTTTAGTCAGGATCTTAAGACGATCAATGACAATATTGAAACTACCGAAAATCCCCTTAACCAGTTGTTCACCATAATGAACCAATTCTTCCGAAACAATAATCAAGGAAATAACTCTAACACCAATAATGCAGCAAGCCACTAAAAACAATATCCTCATCTGCCACTGGAATGCCGGTGGACTAAGACCCAAAATTAATGATCTAAAATTTTTTTTGCCAGCAATATAGCCCCGATATTATTTTACTTCTGGAAACCAAACTCAAACCCAATGAACCCATCAAAATTTCTTACTATGCCTTTTATCATACCCCCCGAAGTAACTGCTGAAGAGGTCAATATGGAGGCACAGGAATCCTAATAAAAAATCTTATCCCCCATCGACAAATCTTCCTACCCCCCTTAGAATGAGTGAAGCCACGGCAATTGAAATCTGTATTAATAACGACAACTACCTTCTGGTATCCATCTACATTAATCCCAGAGCTAACACCATTTTTACTCTAGACATAGAAAACATATTAAGTATATCTCACAAAAATTTAAAAAAATTAGAGCAGTTTTATTTCTCTTTTTTAACAGAAAATCAAAATTAAGCCTAAAAAACAAACTCTTACTCTATAAAATGATCCTTCGCCCCATAGTTAGCTATGGATGCCCTATCTATGGTGGTGTTGCTAAATCCCACCTGAAAAAAATACAAACCCTCCAAAATACAACATTAAGAGGCATCGTAAATGCACCGTGGTATTACAGAAACACATAAATCAGCCAAGACCTAAATATCAAAAGCATAAATAACTATTTCCATAAACTAGCCACAAAATTTTACAATAATTTACCCCTTATTAAAAACGTTGAAATCCAAAATCTTCCAATTTACGATTACTACCACCAATCCAATAAATATAGACCTAGAACTGTTCTCAAAATAAACCCTTCCAACTAATTTATTTTATCAATTTTCACCTTTTATAAAACTTACTTTCCCTCTTCTCTTATGAGTTGATTTATAAATCCCGTTCTCGGATTTCCAAGCTGAACGTTCAGAAAAGTCACCAGATGGAAGCACCTTATGGTTGCCCGAATAGTTTCACTATTATAAGATAGATGACGCCACGAGATGGCCAAAAATTCCTGTCGAAACGAAGAAGTCCAGACCTTCCACTGAAGTTTTTACTTACAAAGTTTCTTATGGTAAAAATCAGCTGCAAATTAAAATATTTCCAACTTTTAATATTTGAATATCCTCCTATTGTTTAATCAACTTAAAAATATTCTGCAATTTTTGTAAATATCAAAATCCATATTGTTCCCCTTGTAAATAAATAAACCATATCACACTTATATATATTGTAAACATCATAACTTTTTTGATCCCCCTGTAAATAAATGACCCCATTCATATGCATTGTACATACTCATGTTATCATCATCAATTGTTTCCCCCATGTAATATACTCCCTCTTCTGATTCAATAAACGGGTGAGCCAAAAAAAAAAAAAAAAAAAAAAAAACTCTTTTTGGGTGCCTCAGGAAAATTGACCTCCAAGGCCGTATGATTTCTCGAGAAACTTCCATGACCTTCCACAGGCCAACAGGGCGTTAGGATCTCGGAACTATTCCCCCCCTTTTTTTTCTCTTTATCATCTTTTAGATCTTTCTCCAAATTCTCTCCAAGTTTTCTCACAATTTTTTAATTACGTCATGTAAAATATTTCCACCTTAAGAAATCTAATCTTATCAGGTACAACAAGTTTTCTACTGGGGATAAACACAATTGTGTAGATGCCCCAAAAAATTAATGTAGTTCCAGTATCACAAATAAAGTATCACTCTTCTCAAACTTTGCACCAATTGTGTACAAAGCAGATTATCTTGGACTTACAATAAACGATAAACTTAACTGGAATGACCATGTTGAGAAAATTAAAAACAGATCACTTGCTGCCTTTTCATGCCTCAGAGCACTATTTAATGCAAAATCAAAACTACCGTTGAACCTAAAAAGACTGCTATACATTTCCTGCATACGACCTATCATTACTTATGCCAGCCCTGCATGAAGATGCATGAACAAAACCCAAATAAATAAGCTTGAAGTGATACAAAACAAGATCATGCGAAGGATTACAGGGGCACCATGGCACATTAGCAATAAGGCCCTTAGAAGAGATCTAGATCTGGAGACTATAAATGAACATCTGAACAAATTAAGCGCAGGGTTCTATAGTGCGGCCATGAATAGCACAACTTCAAACTTTAATCTCATCTTCAGCTAAGAACTGATACACGATATCAAAAATCATTACCCCGTCACAAACTTTTTACAATCGGATATGATTTTATCCAAACACTTCAAGACCGCATACAATTAAAAAACAGACACAAACACTCATAGACATGACTAGGCCTACCGCGAACCCGGTGAAGGAGCAACCCTGTTGGGTCCCATCCGGGCAAGCTGTAGGTCTATTAAACTTAAAACAATGAGCAACCCGGTACGAGCGGGTCATCGTTATATCAGAGGCTCACACTAATTGATATATAAACAATGCCAATATGTAGATATATAATAATGTAATTTTCCTTACTTCACAATCTTGTAAATTATCTTGTACATATTTATTTTTCAATTCATTGTTTCTTTAACATGCCAATGACTTTAGGGACTTTCCCAGTAATTAACCTTATAGATAGCTAACCAATGTTAGTAAACTTCTTTTTCTTTTCCCTGAACCAAAGCCACTAGTCTCAGTTGCCCTAGGGCCAGTAAATAGACGAAGAAGTGAGGTGCCCGCATTCGCGGGCAGGTACTTCGACAAACTACATATCCAAGTCCAAGTCCTAATAATTAATTCTCTACTCATCAAGCTGTATTACTATTCCCCATTATTTATATTTATATATATTTATTTTTATATTCATTTTTATTTTATTCATTATCATTCATGACAACTATATCAACAATAGCCTCCCGATTACTTTTTTATTAATATTTCTCCTGTTATGGAATGCATGATCCAAGTTATATTAAACCACCTACCGTTGAAGTGCCCTCTCTGTTCTCATTACGATATTACTTCTCATATTAATTTGTTTACATTTTATTGATAGCT